TACGGCATACGGTTTGATGGTGGGTATATTAGATTCGGCATAGCCGAATATAGATAGCACTCTTACTTATTTTATTTAAAACATGATATGATGAAATATTTCAAATAAATGCTTAAATTATTAAAATTTAAGTTATATGCAAAAATATTTGGTCATTAGCAAAATGGATGAGCAAATCGATTTCAAAACTTTTATTTTATATATAACCGTTATAATTAAACTTTGCAAACAATAATAAGTATTAAAATTATAATACTATATCTCTAGGGCACATAGTCCAACTACCATTGCGAAATAATAACTGGTAAGGGGTTTCTCCTTACCATATGCTAAGTATTAATGAAATCGTATGATGCTGGGTCAGCAACTCTTGCCAACTAAAGAAAACAAAGAAAAAAAAACTGAAATTTGAACGAAAACAATAAATGAAACTAAAATACCAAGAAAAAGGTAAAAAAAAGTAAAAACACCCAAAATATACAAGATATTACATAATAATTATATGAGTATGTATGTATGTAGTTAAAATAAATAAGACAAGAGCAGCAAAAAAAAAAGCTAAAATTGAAAAATGTGGAAAAAAACTTAAATAGAGAAATAAAAGAAACCTAAATATTTTAACTTGTCATGCAAATATTAATGAATAACAGCGAAAAAAACTGAAAATAAAACGAAAACGTCTTAAATGAATCAACACGGTTATTATGATTTTTTCGAACAAAACTTTTGTAATAATTTTACACCTTTATATGACCCACAATTTGTTGTTGTTGTCATTTTTTAGTACTTGGTACTTAAATATTTATTTAACAGAAGTTAAAAGTTAAAAATACAAACGACAGGCTTAATATTTTGCGCTTGGTAAAGATGTCTGTCTATAATTATAAAAAATGACAATTACTAAGTTTTTAACGAACATTTTTTTTTAAAATTGACATACATTTATTACTAATAACTTTTTTTTAGCTAAAATATTGCTTAATGTTAATTTTATGTTTTTTTTTTTTTTTTGTTGGCTTTACACACTTGTATTGTATTTAAGTGTTTAAAAAATCTTTAACATTATTATGGTTTAACATAAACATATAATAAATCTGTAATATTATTACACCTTATTTCTGTTAAACTATAAAAAAAGTATTTCCTATTTTTAATGGGTATTTAAAAAAAAAACAATTGTTAAAAATTTAACATTTTCACAGCCATTAAGGGAAAAACAAATTATGTAATTTGTTCATTTAATTAAGCGGTAATTTTCAAATTATATTAAAAAAAAAAATATTATTGTTAAACAAATGGTTGTTATTTGATTGCATAATATTGACAAATGAATAAACTATTGATGTTTACAGTTTATCACCACTTAACTAACATTAGTTTTTTTTTAACAAAAGTTAATATTGTGACTTGAATACTGCTCTAAACTGCTAGTCATAAGCATTATTATTTTATAAAGGAAAAATGTCAGTTATGTCGGCTTAATCATTTGATCATGCTTAATTTTTACCTTTAATAATTTAATACAATTGTTAAATAGAATACAAATTTTGTTTATTTTTTGTTAATAATAATGCTTATATTCTTAGGAAATACTGTTTTAGTCTAATGATTTGTTTAATTCCATTATACAACTTTTTAAAGCAATTTTAATAAAACAACATGACTTTTAAGAAAATTAAAACTTAATTTGTAAAAAAAGTTATAGAACAACTAACAAAGAGTTTTTATCATCATTAAAAATTATTATTTTATTATAAAAATTTTGCTAATTCTCATTAAAAAACACATTATTTCCTTAATAAAAATCCCCTAAATTTCAAAGTTGTCACAGTTAGTGAACTTTATTTGGAGACATCAGGTGATGTAGTTTGTTTTAAGATAAATAATAATAACATAAAAGAGAAAAAAATGTAGAATAGATGAGCAAGGTCGTTCCCATGTTACACTACACAAGTGGTTTTCTAAATGTTACCCTACTTAGAGGCTTGAGTCAATTAACCTATTCTCATGTTTTACGCATATTATAGTCGATGCCAACATTACTATACAATTACAAATTATATTCTAACTATGTATCTAAATATGTATCAGTACTTCTTAACATGATATAATTCATATTATACAAAATACACTTCTTCATTTCGGAAGATCTTTATGCGGAATTTGAATCTTCAATCTCAAGATGACACCCTTCGAGATGTATTTAAAGTTTTAAAAAAATAGTTGTGTACTCAATTTCATTTTGAAAAAAGTCGAATATGTGGACTATAATGAACCGATCTTCATATAAATAAAAGAAGTTATAAATGTTGTTTTGAATCTCAATCAAATCTAATCTTAATGTCAATATTAAAACAAGGAATGTCTTTCAAAAGAAGACTTGCTACAATTACACAGGGCAACAAAATGTTAACCCAGTTATCATAGTATTCTTTTCTAATAGATTAGCTGCGCTGAATCTGAATCTGGCCCATTTTTAGATATCGTGTCCTAAATATAGAAAAAGCCCCTTCTTTTGCCATATTTGAGACGTTATAACAGCTAAAAAGACACCTTTGTTATATCAACTGAAAGTCCAACTTTCGACTTTAAAATATAGGTTTAACCCATTCTACAAATTGTCAAAATTTTTCGCATAGAAATACTTTTGGTATTGTTTAAAAATCTCTTGAGTTTTGCTGAGATATCAACACTTGAAGATTCAATTTCAAAAAAATTTCAGCAATTATTAGTTGTTTATAACTTTAAGTTGTGTTATCTTGAAGAACGAAGAAGATATGATGATGACCCACTCTACAGTTCTGAGTATCTGGTGGAAATTAAATGCTCAAAATAAGATTGATGCAACTAGTGCTAGAATACTATTAACTAGAATACAAAATTTATATATTAAAGTTTTAACTAAATCTTTGTCTATTCAATTTCGTTATGAAAAAAAGGTAGACTAGGTCCAATAATGAACCGATCTTGATATTTGGACAAATTTTAATCTCAATGCTGATATTAAAACAGGGCAAATTATGAGCCGCACATTTCAGAATTTTTTTTACAGAAATTCTTTTACAATAAAAATCATTTTTATTTGGTCCAATAAAATTTATTTAGATCAGATTTTATGTTAATTTCAAGGAGTTAATTTCTTAAGAAAGCTTGAGTCAAATATGGATTGAAGTTTAAAGAATTTAATAGATTAATAATATCTTTATTTCAAATGTATAATAAACTGATTATATAAAGAAGGCCTTATAAGGGGTCTGGAGTCAATTATAGACCGATCCTTATAAAATTTTTATATAAAACTAATTTACACCTAAATTATCCGTTATTAGTACTAATATCTATGGCGGAAGTTAAAGTAATTTTTGGAGAGAGAGAAATAGACCTTATAAGGGGCTTAGGATTAAATGTGATCAGATTTTTTTTTAACCTAAATTTTAAAAACTAAATTTTATTATGACTAATGAGACCTTGATGAAATCTTAGACCGAAATCTTAGAAATCTTAACCTTAAAATCGGACTTTTGTATTCTAAATTTGTAAATATCTGAAAAAAGAACCAGAGATGTGTAGAAGACATAATATATTCTAAATAATATATTTAAAAACTAATTATATACCTAAAAAGTATATGCTTCGTAGATGACAAAACAGAAGCGATATTGAAGGAGAAGCTTTTTAAAAAGCTTTCATGATAATTGTATGTTCTTAACTATGGAGTGTTTGTCTTACACTTCACTTCAATACCCTTTTCTAGACTTGGTAGAATAGTTGATTTTTTTCAACAGATCAACTTTACTTTGATTTATTTGCCTTTATAACTAATTTAAATTTCATATTTTGCTGTAAACCATAAATGGACATTTCTCATAAAGTTTAATATTTAAACATTGATTTTGGTTTTTCTTGTTCAAAACTTGTTTTAATATTAATGTTTATTTTATATGATTTTTGGCCATGGCGGAAATCTGTAAGACAACATTTCAGACATGACCATTATATTATGATAATTTCATTGGTTTAGACCAAATTTAAAGTTCAATGAAAAACTAAAGTATAAAATAAAAAAAAATTATTGAAAAAAATATAAAATTTTTGAGCTGAAACGTTAAAAGTCCAAAGTTAAATTTTCAGTTTTAACTGTAAAAATCCATTTTATCCATAACTGGAGACATAATTCTTGACATTTAGTTCAAATTGATAATTCAATTAATAAGATAATTTCAAAATCAGGTGAAATTTTTTTAATATTTAACCCAGAGACAAGAGAATGCTTTTCAAAACCAAAATATTGTATTGAGCCAGAACTGAGTCATAACATCGGGTTTTTAGATATCTTAGCCTAAACAAACGTTATAAAATTTGAAAACAAAAAGGTTCAAGACGATATGAAAGCTCGAAATCACCTTTATGTATAAAGTTTTTTATATCGTGGGAAAGCTTCAAAATACAATTTTAATCTATGTTATATCTTGTTCCATATCTTAACCTAAAGTTTACAGATACTATGAGATGACAAAAATATATATAAATAAAAATAACATCACGCTATAATGTCTCAAATTGGGGACTTTTAAAATATTAGACTCAGATATCTTGAAAACCTTATGTAATGAAGCAATTTAGATGTCAGATTCGGATTTAGAATTCTTTAGGATTCCTTTAGAATCCAACCCCTTTACCCTGCTTTTTTATGCAAATTTTTATGTAAGTGAAAGGCTTAGTTCCATAATTAGATAACTCAAAAAATAAATGAAATATTTGAAAAAATTGCTAACAAAGAGAAAGTTTGCTTAATATTTTAATAACTAGAAAGTTATTAGACATACAATTAAAAAGTTTAGCTAATTCATTTTAAACATTAAATAATTTTTCGCAATTATTCGACTTAACACATTTCAAAAATAAGCCCTCAAATAACTTATAGCCTAAACTATTCTAAAAAAATACTTATGTATATCTCAAAATTTCTTAAAAACTAAAAAAATAGTGCTCAAACTTACCCCATATTACTGTAAGTATTTTCAATTTCTCCAATGGATATAGTGCGAGACAAACCAAAAAGAAAATATGAGCCGCAGAGATCATTATGACATTGTGCCATTTAAGGGGCGCTTTGAACTGAATACCAAACACTTTATCGCCCTTAAATTTGCGTGTGTATTCCTCCAAATTGACATGATATTTATTCTGTATAATTTTCACTTCTCCATCGGCGGCTGAGACCAAGGGTTGACCATTGGCGGTGGGAAAACCATTTTTGGCTGTCACTTTGCCATTTGTCAAACGCTGTTTTAAGGCTGTGTTGTCGTTGGTGGTATGTGTAGTTTCGGCACAACTGGTTGTACTGACACGATCCGAGGTTGATAAATGACCCATGTTGGTTGTGTGTAAAATACTTTGTGTTTACTTTAAGAGTTTTAGAACAATCAGTAATTCTGATGGGGGACCAAAAAAAATTAACACAAAATAAATAAATTTTTGGTTTTCTTTTCAAAGGGGAATAAAAAAATTTAATTTCTTTTTTTTTGTAATTTTAAAAAAGGGGGGATTTTTGTTATTATTTTTGACGGGAATGATCATACAAAGTTACAAAATGCATAACTACTTGCAACGGCTTATTGCCGAACTTTTGTATTCTCAATTATAAACTTAAATCAAGGGGACATTTTTACAAAAAAAAAACTTCTATTTTACTTAATATTAATAATTTTTTTAAATAAAATTTTTTAAAATTTACTTGTATTTGGGTTTTCATTTGTTTGCTGAAATTTGTATTTGGTTTTTTTTTAATTAGATTTTGAATGTAAGATCACTATTTATTTGATTTCTTTGAAACTTTTCAACACTTTTCAATTAGCTTTATTTTCATTCGTATTATTTGTAAATATCTTTATTATTATTTTTTTTATTATAAAAACTTTTGTATTTTTCTATTATTATATACTTTTTTTTAGTTCAGTTTTATTTAAATTTCTTACATCCGTTTGTTTTTATCTAATGACCGTTACTGTTTGACGTTTCGTTAAGAAATGATCGTAGTTGAAAACTTAAATTTCATTTCTATCTTTGGCTACACAACTTTAACGCTTAAAGATGACTCTGGTCGACTGAATGTCGGAGTATTTGTCTCTACGTTGTTTATTTTTTTTTTTTTTTTTTGGTACGTCTGTCTGACTTTACACTAGTATTCTTTTGTATCGTACAGATACTTACATACATATGTATGTGTGGCTGTATCTATCTTTTTTTTTTGTTTCTATGTATGTCTGTTACTGTTGGCTGACTTTTGTATTGTTTATTTTGCTTTTATTGTTGTTTAAGTTAAAAATCGAACACCAAAAACTTAAACTTACTTTAAGGCCAAGATTGAGCCACCTCACGGTGTTACTTCAAAACCACAGATACAAATACACACATGATCACACATTCACGCGCTCCATAACATTTGCACACACTCTTGTCAGATCAGACATTTACAGCAAATGCCATCCATGAGTCTGTAAGAGGAAAACTTTCAAAGAATCATTTCATTATGAAAGGAATTCCTTTGATTTTGATTACAACAACCATAACTATATCAAGTAGGTAAACACCAACTTATTAATTGATGTTATACAAGTGAGAAAATACATTAAAAAAACAAATCCTAACAATAGTATATGTGAAATCCAAATGTCTTTTGATTGATATCATTTCTAGAAATAGAACAACACATAATTCCTGAATCATATTCGTCATAACTTAACAATAGGCAGCATTGCTCATTATATGTACGTCACAAATATTAAATATTTGTGACGTCAAATCTGTAATAGTTTCGTCTATAGTCTAGTCTATAGTCTAATCTATAGTCTAGTCTATAGTCTAGTCTATAGTCTAGTCTATAGTCTAGTCTATAGTCTAGTCTATAGTCTAGTCTATAGTCTAGTCTATAGTCAGTCTATAGTCTAGTCTATAGTCTAGTCTAGTCTAGTCTAGTCTAGTCTATAGTCTAGTCTATAGTCTAGTCTATAGTCTAGTCTATAGTCTTGTCTATAGTCTAGTCTATAGTCTTGTCTATAGTCTAGTCTATAGTCTAGTCTATAGTCTAGTCTATAGTCTAGTCTATAGTCTAGTCTATAGTCTAGTCTATAGTCTAGTCTATAGTCTAGTCTATAGTCTAGTCTATAGTCTAGTCTATAGTCTAGTCTATAGTCTAGTCTATAGTCTAGTCTATAGTCTAGTCTATAGTCTAGTCTATAGTCTAGTCTATAGTCTAGTCTATAGTCTAGTCTATAGTCTAGTCTATAGTCTAGTCTATAGTCTAGTCTATAGTCTAGTCTATAGTATAGTCTATAGTCTAGTCTATAGTCTAGTCTATAGTCTAGTCTATAGTCTAGTCTATAGTCTATTCTATAATCCTATAGTCATAAGTCTATAGTCAGTCTATAGTCTATTCTATATATCTATAGTCCAAGTCTATAGTCTATTCTATATCTATAGTCAAGTCTATAGTCTAGTCTATAGTCAAGTCTATAGTCTAGTCTATAGTCTAGTCTATAGTCTAGTCTATAGTCTAGTCTATAGTCTAGTCTATAGTCTAGTCTATAGTCTAGTCTATAGTCTAGTCTATAGTCTAGTCTATAATCTAGTTCTATAGTCTAGTCTATAGTCTAGTCTTCTAGTCTAGTCTATAGTCTGTCTATAGTCTAGTCTATAGTCTAGTCTAAAGTTAGTCTATAGTCTAGTCTATAGTCTAGTCTATAGTCTAGTCTATAGTCTAGTCTATAGTCTAGTCTATAGTCTAGTCTATAGTCTAGGCGATAGACTAGTCTATAGTCTAGTCTATAGTCTAGTCTATAGTCTAGTCTATAGTCTAGTCTACAGTCTAGTCTATAGTCTAGTCTATAGTCTAGTCTATAGTCTAGTCTATAGTCTAGTCCATAGTCTAGTCTATAGTCTAGTCTATAGTCTAGTCTATAGACTAGTCTATAGTCTAGTATATAGTCTAGTGTATAGTCTTGTCTATAGTCTAGTCTATAGTCTAGTCTATAGTCTAGTCTATAGTCTAGTCTATAGTCTAGTCTATAGTCTAGTCTATAGTCTAGTCTATAGTCTATTCTATAGTCTAGTCTATAGTCTATTCTATAGTCTAGTCTATAGTCTAGTCTAGTCTATAGTCTAGTCTATAGTCTAGTCTATAGTCTAGTCTATAGTCTAGTCTATAGTCTAGTCTATAGTCTAGTCTACAGTCTAGTCTATAGTCTAGTCTATAGTCTAGTCTATAGTCTAGTCTATAGTCCAGTCTATAGTCTAGTCTATAGTCTAGTCTATAGTCTAGTCTATAGTCTAGTCTATAGTCTAGTCTATAGTCTAGTCTATAGTCTAGTCTAGTCTATAGTCTAGTTCTAGTCTAGTCTAGTCTAGTCTAGTCTAGTCTAGTCTAGTCTAGTCTAGTCTAGTCTAGTCTATAGTCTAGTCTAGTCTATAGTCAGTCTATAGTCTAGTCTATAGTCTAGTCTATAGTCTAGTCAATAGTCTAGTCTATAGTCTAGTCTATAGTCTAGTCTATAGTCTAGTCTATAGTCTAGTCTATAGTCTCGTCTATAGTCTAGTCTAAAGTCTAGTCTATAGTCTAATCTATAGTCTAGTCTATAGTCTAGTCTAGTCTATAGTCTAGTCTATAGTCTAGTCTATAGTCTAGTCTATAGTCTAGTCTATAGTCTAGTCTATAGTCTAGTCTATAGTCTAGTCTAGTCTATAGTCTAGTCTATAGTCTAGTCTATAGTCTAGTCTATAGTCTAGTCTATAGTCTAGTCTATAGTCTAGTCTATAGACTAGTCTATAGTCTAGTCTATAGTCTAGTCTATAGACTAGTCTATAGTCTAGTCTATAGTCTAGTCTATAGTCTAGTCTATAGTCTAGTCTATAGTCTAGTCTATAGTCTAGTCTATAGTCTAGTCTATAGTCTAGTTTATAGTCTAGTCTATAGTCTAGTCTGTAGTCTAGTCTGCAGTCTGGTCCATACTCTTCTCTACAGTCCAGTTTATAGTCTTGTCTATAGTTCGGGCTACAGTCTAGTCTATAGTCTAGTCCATAGTCTACTCTATAGTCTAGTCTATAGTCAAAGCTACCACTAAGGAGATTTTTCGTTCGTAAAAAATTATGTAGGATACTGATTAATTACGATTAATTTAGGTGTTATTTTGTATAATATTTACGTCTACAATTATATAGAATAAATACATAGCTATATCAATTAATAGACTAATGATAGCTAGTTATCGTTAATAAATAAACACCACAATTAAAAGGTTGCAAATAATTTGTAACCTTTCAATTGTATTTTTTAGATCTATTTAAGATCAATTATATCTGATAGATATATATATATTCTATTTGACAGATAATTGGACTACTCTTAGGCATTATTAAATTGTTATTTTGATTGAATCAGGTCCATGTACCTCCACGATTTATTCGGTACTTTTTCTAAAATAAAAACTTTTGATAACTAGTCCATAGTTTATGGTCTAGTCTATAACCTAATCTGTAGACTAGGCTATAGTCTAGTCCATAGTCTAGTCTAGAGTCAAGTCTATAGTCTAATCTATAGTCTAGTCTATAGTCTAGTCTGAAGTCTAGTCTATAGTCTAGTCTATAGTCTAGTCTATAATCTAGTCTATAGTCTAGTCTATAATCTAAAGTCTAAAGTCAAATCTCCTACTGAGGAGACGTTTCGTTCTCTTCCAAAAACAAAAATATTATTCATATTGGATACTATATTGATTTCTCATGTTCAACACATTCTGTTTCCTTAACAATGTACGATCAATTTAGGTGTTAATATATTTAATATATTACGTCGTATAATATACATACGTATGTATGTGTGTATATCAATTAAAAAAATAGCTATCATTAAAGATTATTATATGAACTTCGTAAACAATTTGTAAGGTTTCAATAGTATTTTTAGAATCTATTTAAGATCAATTATATCTAAGTATTAAATAATATACATATGTACTTACACCGGTGTTTTTATAGATAATTAGACTACTCTCATGCATTATTGAATTGAGATCTGATGAAATCAGATCCACGTACACCACGGTTTATTTGGTCCTTTTTCTAACTTAAAAACTTTTGATAAGTATATAGTCTAGTCAAAAGTCAAATATCCTACTGAGAGGATTTTTCACTCTCTTCCAATAACAAAAATATTATACATATTGTATACTATATTGAATTCACATGATCAACACATTCTGTTTCGTTATGTACGATCAATTAATGCGTTATTATATTTAGTATATTACGACTTACAATTATATCGGTTGGATAAAATACACAGTTACATAAATTAATAAAATAGCTAAATAATAATAAAAATATAACATTTTAGTAGAATTTTTAGAATCTACTTAAGATCAATTAAATCGAAGTAGTAAATAAAATATGTAACTACACCGGTATTTTGATAGATAATTGGACTACTCTTATGCATTATTAAATTATATATAGTCCAGTCTATTTCCTTCTCTATAGTTTAGTCTATAGTCTAGTCTATATTCTAGTCTAGTCTATAGTCTAGTCTATAGTCTTGTCTATAGTCTAGTCTATAGTCTTGTCTATAGTCTAGTCTATAGTCTTGTCTATAGTCTTGTCTATAGTCTAGTCTATAGTTTAGTCTATAGTCTAGTCTACAGTCTATAGTCTAGTCTACAGTCTATAGTCTAGTCTATAGTCTAGTCTATAGTCTAGTCTATAGTCTAGTCTATAGTCTAGTCTATAGTCTAGTCTATAGTCTAGTCTATAGTCTAGTCTATAGTCTAGTCTATAGTCTAGTCTATAGTCTAGTCTATAGTCTAGTCTATAGTCTAGTCTATAGTCTAGTCTATAGTCTAGTCTATAGTCTAGTCTATAGTCTAGTCTATAGTCTAGTCTATAGTCTAGTCTATAGTCTAGTCTATAGTCTAGTCTATAGTCTAGTCTAGTCTAGTCTATAGTCTAGTCTATAGTCTAGTCTATAGTCTAGTCTATA